GACTACCTGTGTCGCAGCAGGCACACTCATCAGTGACCGAGTACGTTAGTAGACTCCTCGATCCACTTCACCATACACACCAGTCTGGACGCGTTCATTTGGCAAACGCCCACCGACGTCAGAAAAATTATTCCGATAAGAAAGTCGTCGGAGTTCCTTTGAAGGCGGGTGATCTGGTATATTCGTGCTAGGTATCAACCACGGGGTTCGGTTAAGTTGCACCATAATTGGGCTGGACCGTACATGGTACAGCGGGTGATCTCAGATGTGACCTGTGTTATCAAAGATCCTAACAACCCGGCCAGTCAATCCATGGCAGTACAATTCAACCGGCTTAAGCCACTCCGGAGCGAAGTCCACCACACCGCGGGGAGCCGAGTGGACCGCCTGCGGTAGTAACGGTTGAAGTGGAAGTGCCGGCTCAAGGTGGCTACGGCATGACAACAAGGACGTTGCCTAATTACAGGGAGTGCGGTGTAACGAATGCTCGAGACTATTGTGGCGCGTTTGAATTTGAATCGTTGCTCTAACGACACATTTCCCGGTTGCATTCCAGAGCGCCACTCCTAAGCAGTTACGGAAGAAGACACGAATCCGAAGAAAACAGTTAACTGTAACGTTCCTTTTACCCCTTTTATGTTACACTGAATTCCTTATAGTGCTCACGTGTTGTGTAATAGTAGTTCCTTCTATGCTTGCATACTACACAATTATCGACATTCGTTTTCCGTTAATGATCCAAGGGTCAATTTGCTTATTTAGGCCTCGCTTGCCGTTCTACATAAATCTCATTTCACAAATCTTTGTGATTAAGCAAGACTGGGTTACGCTGTAATTGCTTGGTCTGGCGAGTAAAGTATCTGGGGCGAAGGGTCTGTCTTTGGTTCTCATCTCTCTGTGTCGAAGTCGCTTGTGAAGTCTGCTCGGTCTAGGAGAACGTTTCAGCTGTGCCCCAGTCTCCCGGGTTGTGCGAAGTCTTATTCTGTCGGCGACTTTCCGTGCGGGATGCCATTCTGTCTCATGTTTGTTAGGTGAGTCGTACCAATCCGTTATACACCCGGTGTGACCAAGGACCACATGTATTGCTTAGGGCGACGGTTCCGCATATTGTGAAACGCGAAGACAATCAATCAACGCAACTGCTGATAAACAGAAACCTCCAATGGTGAGCGCTAAGATAGTTTATTTAGATAACCTATGCACATGGTGTCTAAGCTACAGCTATAACGACCCCGATACACCATCTGTCTGTTGGATCATATTCCAGTCGGCAGCAAAGCAAGGAAAGGTGAGCGCGATTCGAAGTCGAAGATAGTGCAGATGTGTGCCGAGCTGTTTTAATAACCGCAGGTAAGCGAACATAGACGGGCACTTTGGATTCCGTGGGTGTATAGTAAAACAAAATGTTTTAGAAGTATTTTGCCATACCGTACATCAACCGAACGGGTGATCCTTCGGGCTGCTACACAGTTTCCTTGCCAAAAGTGGAACTGTAAGTGATTTTTCGATCTGCGTGATGACTGTACGTCGCCGTCCATCCTTTTGTGAGATAAATTGAACCTGATGCAACTGCTGAGTGAGCACCAAAGCGATCGGATTCTAGCTGGCTCCCATTATGTCGTCTCTAGCGGCATCGGAACGTGAAATCTGTGGGGGGGGGGGAGCAGCGTTCGACAACATTCGTGTCTCATCCTGTTTGGTCCGGGGGTTCCGAATGCCAAACAGAAAGGGAACAGGGGATGGTGATGACGACAGAGTAAGGAAAAGTGAGGTTATCACTTGCGGTGAAGACTAAACGTTGGCATGCAAAATAGAAAATGGAACGCTCTGTAGGAGTTTCAAAAGGTCTCGTGCTTTTTGTAGTTTTTAAAAAGCATTGGAACGAAATGCTTAAAACAGTAGTAACACCAGATGTTGAAACGGAGAAATGACAAGAATAACGATTATACCGTTGAAACTACATCAGCGAATGGGTTTTTGATTCTTCACGCAATACCAAAACTGGCTATCGTATTGACGGTTAGTGTTTCCCACCGTAACACTGACCGGTTTCGCCGACTGGACTGTTGGGCCATATAGCACTGGCTTCGTCCCCGCGACGATAGCCGTGACCTATTTCCATCTTTGGAAATGCGAAATGGAAGTTCCGTTTTTTATGTTGAGACCCTGTTCGATCAGAGAAGCGTTTACTCGCTTGACGAGTGCCCCGTACGAGTGGACCTCCGTAACGGTGACTTGCCCGTGAGTGTTAGGAGGTGATCCACTTAATATCTGAATATTCACCATTTATGAGTGCATAAAGCACATCCTTGGCTTCAGTCGTTGACGGATTCGTCAGATTACCGAGCGATCTATCCGGAGTTTTACGACAGCACTAACAGTATATTGCTCATTCACCCGGAGCATAGCTCCTAGGTTGTGTAAAAATAGTTGTCTCAGCAGTACTCCGATACGCAGTGCCGACGCTTGCTGCCGCGTAGCCACTACCAGTCACGCGTGGGTTAAGCATACTGCCAGGTCCATACGCAGGCTTGAACCCGCCTCCTCGGATTACGAGTCAGGCTTGCGATCCTTAAGGCTACGGGCCGGCTATGCAAAGACTATACAGTTGAGGAGTAGTGTTCGGTTTGCCGAGGTCCACGCTATCCGCGGTGCCACAATGTGATTTCGAATCGGCCTTATCAATTTGTGTGGCCGGGCGGATTCTACATCCTCCTTCACCCAGTCATTCCTGTCAGTTCTCGATTTGATTACACCAAATGGACAGCGCTTAGTAGTGCCCAACATGTTGCGTCTGACAACCAGTTGAACTGTATCAAGTGTGACACAAAGTGTATCAATGTATCCATCTTGAAGGCGATGGTAAGTGCCCGTGATGTTTGCAGAACTCTCGGTCCTTCACCTGTTCATAGTCATTTCAGAACACGGGTAGATGTTCACTAAATCCTCGTCCGGCGTGCAACGCTTTTACTTTCGATTCCCGGATATTTCCTACTCGCACGTCTTGGTCATTCTGGTCCCTGTGTTATTATATTTCCATGAGAGGAGGAGAACTTTGAGACGTGTTAATCTATATTCTGTCTTGAACACACCCTATGAGATGATGTGTGGAAACCACCCGCCACGTGAACATTCATTGCTGATGGTCCAGCGGATAAGTGTAACAGCGCGTCTGCACTTTCAGCACAGGTTGTAGGATGAAGGACAATTGTTTGATTGAACGTTTCCTTGTTGGAGCGTCACTGTTTTTACAGTCTTCTGTCTTTTGTGCTTATTGAAAAAAGGACGCATCTTACTGTGACTGACCTCACGATACGTGTCCCCCCCTGACAAAATGAATCGGCCACCACCAAAGTTCAACACGCATTTGGATGCGGGCGGTGTCGCGGCCACATGTAAAGTTTGCTATCTTGATGTGTGCCTATTATCTATTCGCGCTTTGTCCTATTGTTCAGTACTTGTTTTCAAACCTGTTTTTCGGAGATATGCGTCTAAATGGTGTTTGACAACGAATCCTCCGGCACCTCATTGCAGTGCCTGTTGAACTCGAATTGATTTCGTCGGCTCCGTCATTCGTCTATCATTATCTCGGATGAGGAATTTGAGATATCCTGTCGGATGCGGCACAGTCGCGAAGTCAGTAGCGATCTTGCATTCATTCCCTTATCTATGGCCCGTAATCACGTCGTCTCGTGGTTTCGTTAATTGGTGATTACTGTTACCGTTGTTAATGTTACTGTTAACGTGGTCTGCCAGTAATCGGATGGTTCAACTATCTAGCTTGTAATCCACAAGCCATCAGTTCTAGCGACCTTCCAGTATCCTTAGTCTGCACGCGACGGATCGTAGTCGCATGGCATTGAAGCGCCAGCACGATGTATCGGCGTTGTGTCTTGCCTTTATCTCTAGTGTCGGTTGTCTTCTAGCTTAATTTTAAATGACGAGGGCCTTCGACCTTAATTACTTACTAAGAGGATATCGAGCATGAGTGGCTCAGAAAACATTTAGAAATTGCTGCTAACCTTACCTCAGCGCTTGACGAATGTTTATAAATCGTTCTTACTAAGATCCAGTCTCTGCATAACTTGTGATCCAAAGGTCACCGATTCGATATTGATTAGACGCGGGGGACATTGTGACGTTCCAGCTGACATGTAGCTGTTACCTGACAGCGAAGCGTCGGTATAAAGCTATGGCTTATTATCACTTATCTAATTAACGTTCTTCCTTTAAACTAAACCGATATCTCCTTGGAAATTGCATGTCGCAATGCAAACGCATGACGAGTGCTCCAAAACCAAAATCGACTTTTCTCCTTGTTTTTGCATTTCTTATTATTTAACTGTATTGGCACAATAAACGATACTAGTGCCTGATATTAAAAAAGGCATCGGCGGTACGCCGTTACGGAGTACCGGCCTACTGCCGGAGTACGGAGTACCGACGCTTCGCTGCTGCACAATCACTACCATTCGCGAGTGGACTAAAGGTACTGCGGGAGTCGTCCGGTCCCCCAAGCAGGCTCGAACCCGCGACTTCCGGATTGCAAAGCAGGCTTGTGACCCTTAGGACCACGGACCAGCCGGATATTAGGTAATTAATGGCTAGACATAGTGTAGTTTAGTTGCTTTTTAAAAGTTTAATCAAGCTTTTTGACCACACTATTATTTCCCACCTTAAAGATCGACTCCGGAATAGTTACTGTCTGCACCCCCATATTGCTTCATGTCCACCTAAATCTGAGTTTGGGGCGCTTGATGAAGTTCTCTGAATGTACTCTATGGGCTAGCTGTCCCCGTTTGATTTTGTATAGTATTGGAGTTTTACGGAATTCCTATGTTACGGAGAGAAAGCTTACAGTCAGTGATCAAGCCGAGAGCAGTGGTGCAAGAGTGGATCGATTTCCAATTAGAGATCGAACTCGTGTAAAGACCAAAATGCGAATCTATGTGGAATCAATGGCAAGTTGGATCATAAACTTGAACCGTTTGATTTATGTTGATTGATATTAATTAGCATCTCCAGTTTTGTTGTGTTAGTGGTTTCTTACAACCTATTTATTGCGCCATGCTCTCATACAATAGAATCAGAATCGGAATTCTTCCACCCGGCTGTTTTCTTGGCGTTCTTATTTCGTGGCAGGTTGAACCGGTTGGGGACGTCACAGCAGATTTCAGTCAGGTTATCCGTACTGTCAGCGGAACCCACAACGTCTTATTACCCTATTTTTTGTGTATTTTTACCATTTCAAAAGTTCACCATCAGCCCAATGGATTCCGCTATTGGCTGACATATACTGAAATATTGATTTGTAACAGGCAACTCTCCGATCTCTTCTTCTGTATTTCCTTCTATTCTCGATGTACACAATACCCGGTTAAGTTGACCGGGTTTTGCTTGACATTTACCCAATACACTAACACTTGTGCTTTGCCATGATTGGCTCCTTGTGATGTGCTGTTGGAACTTCCACAATTTTCTTTGTCATTGGTCGCGGGTTCCTATTTGTTCTTCAGCTGATCAACGCGTTCCCCAACCTCTGGAACGCCGCAGTCAACATCCGTTTCTGCGATCACTTGTTACTGGGATGGGTTTTTCGACGGTTCATCTGGTTTGTCCATCTACCTAACGAGCTGATTCCCATACAATCGTAGATTGCCAGCTACCTTATCGGCTGTTTGACTCCAGCCTCTTTTTGCAGTTATTATCTGGTAAATATATCAGGAATTCCTGGCTATGGGTACCACACTGTTTTAGGTTTGGGGGAACCAACTCAAAAAGTAAGTCTTGTTTTTATGTTCAATGCTTTCTGATTTTTCCATAAGGAACAGTTATAAAATTCTATTAAGGCTTTCATCCCAGTAGTTCCCAGGCTACATAACACAGCCTAGTCCGGAAAAACACCAGGCGCGTTTCGCCATATTGGGGCTGAAAGCAATAAAAAGGAACTGGTTCTTCGTGGTAAGGATTCTTTTGACATACCTCTTCTTAATTAATTCTCTTCACCATATCGGGATACGTTTTGGGTCACCAACTTGGACTGTTCTGCTACAACCAGCATTCAAGTTTAGAACTTGGCCATTCGAGTCTAAGTTATGTGTTGGAAACGTTGTATCTTTCAAACCACGTCTGCCCGCAACGAAACGTCTCTTTAGGTCACAGAAACGTCCTCCTTACTAGATCTAGGCATTCTTGAGATGCCTCCGACCCACTCTAATAAATTGACTCCCGAACTGGCGTGTGAACCGTGCCTGACTAACTATTCGTCCGCTGATTCCGCATCAATTCCGTCCGGCTGATTTATTAGCCATCATCTCTCGGGTGGCTGATGTACCTTAGCGCTATCTTAACGGGGCACTGGCGGTGCTTACTTAGTAGCGATTTGTGGAAATAATTCATTTGGACCCGTGAATTGAGAGCCAAAAATATCACATGAGCACCCAACGCTTGAGCGTATCGGATCGGGTAAGATACAACAACGACTTTTTGGCATGAGTCCATATTTCGATTTCATAAGCAAGATGGATGCAGGAAAGCTTTTATTTTGTACAACAAAAGGTTCCCTGTTGTCCTATCCATAAAACCACACTGATAGACCTTGGTAAAAGAAAGGTGCAGTACACATTACGGTCGCGAGATTGCGATTCAACGAAGCGCCCATCAGAAGGCTGTGCCCAAGCCAAACAAACGAACTCAACACGCAGTTCAACATTAGGCGCTGATCGTATACAGTGAATTAGTAATTACAGTTCGACATACAACTATTTCGGACTAACCGGGCAATTCTCCAGATTGTTGCAATTTTCTCTGACTGACTGCGTGACACCAGACAATCGAAAGGTGTGAGTGTCTGTTACGGAACAATCATATAACTGAGACTTCAACAACGAAATAGCCAGTATTCAATTACCTCCATGCATCCACTAACCCAAAAGTAGAATGTGCAGCTCGTTGTTGTTTAGCAAAACTTGCTATCATCACTAGGAGGAATTAATGATATCTAGTTCATTTCAGGTAAACAACGATGATCCGGGCACCATTGTGAGGTGGATCCGATGGCCGCGACTCGTCGCCAGGATAACAACAAAGAACTAGTGGTAAAGACAAGATAATACACAAGTAGTATGCAAAGGGAATTATGAAGGAAGTGGGTAAAGTTAATCTGGGTGGAGTATTAGCAACTAGGTGACATGAACCGAGTGCAGGAGCGTCACTGACTGCGTTAACGTACCATGTCCAACAGGGTCTCCAGTAACTGATGTGACCTATCCCGACGTCCGTATCCACGAAAAGTGCGATGCGTTGTTGCAGCACCATCAGTCACTTGCTGATCACTGATCGCTAGGGACTCGAGCTAGTTGATCCATTCACTTGTTTTGCCAGCTGCCTCAGAAGCAACTGGCTTGTAGTTGCTGAAAATATTCCATGTACCGCGAATGCTTGGATACCCTCCTTGAACCTACGACATATGGGGCCTCAAAATGGGGTTTTGATCGGTAAGGATAGGCCGTTTTTACAAGGCCACAATGAGGGCCATCCCACTCTGTCATCCCGTAGCCTAGAGGTAACGAGCTTGTCTCGTAATCTTGCGGCGCGGGTCCGAATCCGTGTAGAGGTGGGTGTCCTCGCGGCATATTCAGCCCGCGTGCGACTGGTGGTAGTCGCATGGCAGCGAAGCGCCGTTACGGCGTACAGCTGACACATTATTTTTTTATTACTCTGTGGGAGTGAGACTTGGCTCCTTCAATCTGAGGCGCCTTCAGGTATTTGACGATCGTTGCCTTCGAAGCATTGCTGGTATCGGATGGCACTCAGATGTCCACAACAATGATGTGCGTAGTCGATTGCTAGTCAGTGACAATCGGGCTAAGTTGTTAAAGCAACAGTTACCATTGAATAAGTCGCCTTCGTTTGGGCATGTACTACGTTTGTTTGCCACATGTAGGGTGGCACAAGGCTCGAGGTAGACGGAAGTTGACGGCAACGTGAAATGAAGTCATTGACGACCAAACTGGGTGCCGTTGCTTCGTCTCGCCTTCCACACTGGAGTCCACGTGAACCGCCATGTGCTTGTCTCGGGACGTTATAGGGCATGGCTCACAGTCTGCACCAGTGGCGCGTTTGCTGTCGTTTTATAGCCGGACTGCTCGTTTAAAGTGTGTTTGGTGCTGAGTTGTCTGCGAGTTGATGGCTGATTATGATGCGGTGCAGTGAAAGCCGCAAGGAAGCAATGTTGTCGATGCTGCTTTGTCTTTGCACAATAAGCAGCTGTGCGACGATATGTTGACAACTTGGCGGCACCTTTACCCTGAATACTGAGGTTGCTTCACCATAGGTCGGGCACGTGCGCTGAAACACATCACAGATCCCTGCGCATTTGCAGTATATTACAGTGCGCCATAGGGTATCCGGGTGCGATGCGCTCCCTAAACCTGAGATCCGTAAAGTGGGTGTGGAGGGATTGTTTAAATTCCGACACCGATTCTCCCCGACTATTTTCTCGGATAAACTTCCAATATTTCACCAGTTAAAGCAAAGTGGATGTGCTATCCACCTTAGTTCTGGTACCACAAACTTGTAGTGGTGGCTGCGAGTGCTGATTGGTGTGCGCACGTGTAGCATTGGCCTCAGCATGGGGGAGTGACCCAGATGCAATGTCCGATGCGTCATTTTGAGGTCCACTCGAAACCGAGGATACGACAAATTGTACAACCCAAGTCGTCTGCATCGATCTTCGTACGGCACACCCCGTAAACGATCCCGGTAACCACATCCTCAACACCTTCCAGTCTTTGTACCTAGCCACGGGTGGTGAGACAATAGGCGGATGATCCATACTCGAGCATCGGTCTTATGTTGGAAGAGAACAGGCGCATGGCAATCTTTTCAGACCAAATGCAGAAGCTGCGTTTGAGCCTTTCAGGCATACGCAGTCCGTTTCCATATAACTTGTTGGTGTTATTTACGGACTTCAAATCGGAACCTGGCTGAAAGGATCACAAGCCTTTCCTGTATTCTGGAGGTCACACATTCGAGCTTGCGTATGGGACCGGGTGACCCTCGCAGTATCCTTAGCCAACAAATGACAATTAGTGGTAACGTCGAAGTGAAGCACCTGTTCGCAGTACCGGCTTACTGCTGATGCCTTTCGTTGCAATGTGACCGAAGATGCTGTACTTAGTTGATGTGGATCGAGAACAAAATTGACCCCCACTAGTGTTCCATGGTGTCTGCCATTATTGGAAGGGTACTCGTCCGTTAGATGGTCATCCACCCTTACTCTCCATTTTCGCCTCACGAAGAGGTCACTGATCTAATGGTGCAGTGAGCCACCAACACCGCACACTCTCAGGTTGTTGAAGAGAATCTAATTGTTCACTTTATCGGACGCTTTATTGAAATCAATGTGGATTACATCCATCGACTTCCTTCTGTTCAACGCTTGCAACCTGTTGTACTGCTGTACCCCTTCGCATGTGAGACTGCGACCGTCTGCTCAACCACGCGCTCAAATAACCGAAGGAAAACAAGAACCCCAAGACTCGGTAGATAGGGTATATTCTACGGAATAGGCTGTCTGTTTCTTAACGAACCATACTTAATAATTTTGGAAAGCATAGTCACCGAATCTTCGGCGTCTGGCCATCAGTCAATGTGAGCGTGTACCGTTCCACTGGTTCACCATATTTGGAGGAATCGTTCAACTCCGCTCAAACCCTGGACGGCGGCTTGAATTCGCTGGCCAGTCAACTCGAACCTTTTTCCCAAATTTGACAGAATAGGCGAACATGAGTTTTCGCCCGTGCATATGGCCTTCACACGCAGCTGACTGATCAGCTGCTCCCCGGCAAGCTGACGCTCACTGTAGCCACCTTGTGCGTGCACATTTCCTTCATTTTGATCTCTACTACAACCGTTTATGCCGCGTTAAAAGCAGGTTGGTAATACAACAGCAGCACTTCATGAAGCCCGGCTATGCGGGCACGAGAAGGCTTTTCGACTCCAGAAGCTGCATTAGCCCGTTTTTCACGACCTCGAGTACGTTGGCCAAAACGGAGTTCAGACAAATCGGCCGGTTATTGTCCACATTCCTTGGGTCACCGCTTTTCGGAATCCGCTTCACTACCGAGCATTTTCAATCACGGTCATGCACCTTCGGACAGCGATCTATTGCACAGATCAGTCACGGTGGGCGATACGGTGGCCGACAACGACTTCAGAATCAGCGATTGGAGTCCATTTGGACCTGCAGGTTCCGTACTGTCAAGACTGGCAAATATGTTGTGGAAATATTCCACATCACGGTCTAGGCTTTCGAGTTCCGCAGGGGCTGCACACGTGAAGTTTGGTGTACACACATGCCCACTTGCAATTACAGATGCGTAGTGCGTCGCCAACGCAGACGTACCTTCAGCGCTGCAAATCAGAGGCTGTCCGTCAGAGCCTTTTAACTCTACTACGTCGTCTGCAGGTCTCAGGCGCCACTTCAGGTATGCGGAACTTAATTCGGAGCAGTCTTCGCTGCGATTGCAAACTTTCTTCGAACTGCTGACGCTTCAGTGCTTCAACACTGTTGCATCATCATCATCAACAGCAGTACATCAGCCATTTGAACTGATACTTCGCTGCCATACAACCATGAGGACCTATGAAATAAAGAATAAGAAGAGGGAGAGAAGGGGACTTACCTGAAAACCTTATTGCCCTAAGCAAACATTCAGGGTCAAGGCGCCTACACCTTGTGTTAACAACATACCGTCACAAACAGCTGGCTATCGTG